ACTGAAAATTAGGACTTTTTGTCCTATTTTATATAAAAAAAGAAACCATTTTCTTCTTGCTTTTGTTCATTTTTGAGGTTTTTAATAATTCTAAAAGAAAGCAAGTTTTATATATTAAAATGATATGTTTAAAAAAACATTATCAAGATAACATTAAGTTGTTACTGTAGCAAGACAAACTTTATCTCAAGCTAGTTCTGCAATTACCTGTGTTTATGAATATTAGATGCAAAATTACTGCACTGCGTTTTATTACACATACTAGAAGAGCTGCATGACTTTCTCCACTTGATGTATTTACTCTGTGGATACATCAAAGTAAATGAGGTCATCTCATTTAAAGGAAAGTCATCTTACCTATCAGACATTGGTCTAACATTTCTAACATTTACTCCATTTTTTAGTCTGCATTCAAAACAAAGACAAAAGTCAAGACATGACAAATTGGTGTTTTACTGTGATGGAAATTTTACTAATAAAGCCCACATTGAATATGAATAAAAAACATCCAAATCATAACATCAGTAAAATTAATTTACCCTGCTTTATCTCTGCTTTTTATCAGTTTCGTCCGTCTTGTTTCTTCTCTCATCTATTTGACCTGACTAAATCCATCAGATAATCTGTTGCTGTGATTACAATATCAGTGCTGCATTGACCTTCCTGCAGATAATTGCTTGCAGTCTTATTTTCTCTTTACCTCCATCTTTGCTGTACAGTGCCTTTCACTCGTTTTATGTCGCAGCCTCAAACTGGAATTTGATACAGCAGAATTAGAACGTCGAAGTGATAGATGATATGATTTTCAAATTATTGCACAAGAACCAAGTGAAAAGCGTGGGCTCCATTTGTATTTAGCCCCTCTGACATTTCCTCGTTTTGAGAGATGTCTCTTATCATTGTTCCACATCTAGCCTCAGTTTCTCAGAAGGATCTAGGTCTGAACTTTGGCTAGGCCAGTCTAAAACGTGTCATTGTAGCTCTGGGTAAATGTCTGGGTAAATTTGTTTGCAGGTTCTTCCACATCAGATGTGAATCTCTGCCGCTTTACGAGTAGGAACACTTTTGTGTCAACCTCACACGTCCACCCTAAATACATACTCCTGTTTATAGTGTGTGGGATATGTGAATGAACTGACCTCCACCTCGGTGTGTTGATTTTCTGTGCCTCTGTCTGTGTGTGTTTCTATATATTTAATCTGTATTCAGGGCTATACGACAGCACCCGCTCCATACACCAGTCATTTGTCACAAATTGACCTTCCGTGCAACCTCAGCGCCACACACACAAACGCACACAAACAGGTTTAATGATGTGTGAACATGAAGTAGCACTCGTTTTTGGCTTCCATGCTGCACGGATCCCCCCGAATGCGGACGCTGGGTTAATGTCAGAGGATCAGTGTGTAGGATGAAAAGCCAGCTGCATATTGAAACCACCTTCGTATCTCTTGCTCCATTCTTCACCGTCAAGCTTATAAAGAAAAAAATCTAGTGCCATCTAAAAATACCCAACTCTGTTTTCCGCAAAACAGAGTTGGGTTGGTTTAAGGTTACGATAGCGAGTCAGTCTAATGGCGAGGACTTTGGCTTTTACACTGGATCGGTTTTATGATTATTAATTACATAATATGATATAATATGTGGAGGAAAAAGAGTCCATCCCTTCCCAACTCCAGGCTACTGAATGGTTATATTGTAAAAGACGATGCAGTTAAATGGGAGAAAAAATCCTTGAGTTGCAGTGAAAAGTGAGGCATTAATTCACTTCTTGAAAACGTTGAAACCTGATTCCAATCCAACTAAATTTTGTCTTACAATAAACAAATTGTATGAGTTGTTAAATTGAGATTTTTTTAAAGATCCTGGTCTCTAGAAACATTTTTTTTTTTTCTCGCCTGACTGACTTTATAATGCATTGGCAGGACAAGTATCCTACAAGAAAAATACAGCGAAGGTCAGCCTTTAATTGTCTAGTCTTACTAAAACCATTGTTTTTCCTTTTAGCACATTGTTCAATATTTAGACGCCTTTGTTTCTCCAGTCACTATCTCACTAGTAAAATAGCAAATTAACTCCAGCTCTGGTCTCCAAAGATTTGTATTTATTTATTTATTAGCTCATTTTCTATTAAAAATATTCTCAGTTGTGATTGGCAGCCAATTGTGCCTCAGAGTGGGAGTACACAAAATATGCCTGCAAGCACACACGTTTTCACACCTGAAAGCAATGTTGGCACACTTATATTCACCAGAAAGAGCTTTAAACGCTGCAGCGTGCACACACTCATGGTAGGTGATCAGAGCATTGGCTTTAATTAGATTTGACCCATCAGCCTCTAACTCAAAGGAGGAAAGACGGCAGATTACTGCTGCCCTCTTTAATAGCCTTTTGAACAATTAATCTGAGATTACAGTGGAGGGGGATAACTTCAGGGTCAACATCACCATGGAGGTGGACGTATACAATAAAAGTCTTACTCTTTCATTTTCTGCATTGGTGACAAAAACAGACCAAATGTGAACCTTTTTGCTTTTAATGACTTGTGAATTTTTATCCCTATAGGCATAAAACGTCTAGCCCTTCAGGAAAAGTTAAGCAGATAAACAACCCTCCAATCAAACACCGTTTCCTGATTATAGGCGGATTACAGCTGTGATTTTCTGAAGATTGAAGAAAAGGAGGACACAGAGGGGAGGAACCAGGAAAAGACTAGCCAAACTACACATCTTACGATGGAACCCGTTGCCTCGTTTCTCAAATGAGATCTGCATGTGGTTCTACTAAGACAAGTCTAAAACTCATCACCTAGTGGCATTAAAAAGAAATAATAATTTAAAGTGATGTTTTCAGGGCAAATCTGCCTCCTACAGCTTTTAATTTAAATGCTTGGTGGCTATAAAAGAATCGTGAGTAATGCCTGAAAAAAGGCTTGGTTTTGAAAGGTTGTACTAATGCTGCAAGAGAAAGTACAAAAGGAAAAAGCCTTTGGTGCTTTTTTTTTTTTTTAGTATGTTCATCTTTTAATATATTGTACTTTAGAAACGTTTTCATACATTAAAAACCTCTTAGTATTTTTTTCTTCCAAGAAAGCCATTAGCCTTCCTTGAGTTTTGTCATTTGCTACTCATGTCATTTTCTACGTTGTACCAGAAAGTGGTTTGTAGAGTCAAGTCAACTATAACTCTTACAATCCTCATATTTGGCCCTTGCAGAATAGAGAGATTACATATCATCTAGAAAAATAACACACCGTCCGTCCCCGCTGTAGTAAGTCAGTGTTGTGGGGAGGCTTTTCTTCAACAGGGACAGGGAAGCTTATATGAGTTATTAAGAACGTGCATGGAGTTAAAAACTAGGCTACGACGGACCCGTTAAAATAAAAGCACGTCCATGTTTTTGAATGGCCTGGTTAAAGTCCAGAACTTAATTTGTTTGAAAACTGATGTTTACATACACGCCTCTTCTTCCAATCTGACCGAAGCTGATCTATTTTGCACGAGGAAATGGACAGTTTTTGCCTCCAGATACAAAAAGCTGGTAGAGACATTGAAGTTTGTGATTGTAACATGACAACATGTGCAAAAGTTCAGGAGATTTGAATGTTTTCCCATGGCACAGAAGACACTTTCTAACAAAAACTGAGAGTCTCTGATAAAGTCAGCCTTGACGACTAAAAAAAGCTTCTTGTAAGCAAAGAATAAAGCCATTAGAGATGGTTTAAAATGTCTCCAAAGTAATGCACGTATTAGGTTAAACGATGCTCTCAAAAGGGATTTTGCAGATTACTGTATATACCTTAATGTCTTAAAAGTGTTGAACCGGTGTTACTGAGCTTGTGGGATGTGTACAGTAAATTTCCGACAGTATATGTCTGTAAGGGGACGTAGATGTGAGCTTTGTGTATTGTAATCAGCGGAGAGGCTTTTAAGTGGCTACCCAGGGCACACTGGGAGGAAAACGCTGAGTCTCTGATGTTAATACAAAGAGTCATATCTTTTCACGCAGCGTTATGTGTATTTTCCTGTGTATGTGCGTGGGTGGTATATACAATATGTGTCTACTGGGAACTTATGCAATTACGGCTTCTTCTTCTTCTTTGTTTTTTTCCTTATTACCAGGCTGACTGAAATGCTGACAGACATACAACCCTAAGCTGACATAAGCAATCGCTTCGCCCTTGTGTGTGTATTCCTGCGCGTGCGTGGGACATGTGTTCAAACGGACACTAATTCTCTGCGTTTTATGACTGAGAGGGCTGCGTAGTGGAGGCGTTGGATACACACATGCACTCAAAACACATTCTGGCTAAGAATAGGATTTTTTTTTTTTTTTTAAACGGCGCTGCGGAGGCTCTGAAGGCCAGCGACTGTAAAAAGGATTTTCATAAGTTGAGTTCTGACTTCAGGGCTGATCTCCGCTAAAAGACATCTTCTACTCATCCAACCTGAGAGCTGGAGCATTAATAATGCTATTAATGTTCTCTTTCTGAAGTGCCCGACTAAAAACTTTAATTTTGCTTTTTCTGCGTGCCGAGTAATGGCAGGTATTATCTAACCTAACGGTACATATTGAATATACTTTTATCTTTTTAAGGGTCTGGGTAGTCTTCTAAGCATCATTCTGTTTTCTGAAATACAAGCCATAAATGTCCAAAATCCTTCTTACATTTATTAATATATAAATTTCATCATTAGTCTTAGGCTTAGTCGCACAGAATCAAAAAGGGCTGTTTCACAGTTTTTTTGGTTTTGTATAGAATCGTTGTGTCCTGTATTCGTCGCCAACTACTTTACTCACAATTTTGATCTCATGTATGCGTCGTGTGAGTTTAATTCCATGTCAACCTTATCAACCTCTTAAATATTTTTCTTGCTTTATTAGTAAATTAATGCTGCCGCTGCCTATGTTAATGTCTATCTGTGAAGAGTTGCTTCTGTAATTATGCAAAACTGATCTGTGTTGTTTTTGGTGTCTTTTTTTTTTTTTTGTATTGACAGCTGTTGGGGTTCAGATGACTCTGGAGGTGCTTGAATCCAAATTCAGGACCATCGCTGCACAGGTAAGACCATTCAGATGGTGCTCTGTCAGTAATATTTTGGATGTGGCACCAATCATGTTGGATATTGCATTTTGTGCTAAGGCCTTCAACTCATCCACCATTCCAGTACATAATGCCCTCTGTTAGTCATATTTTAGATTTACCTGATTATTTAAAGTTTAGACATACAGGCATCCTGTTGCTTCTTTTCAGATATTTTAGCAATTAGAAAGCACAAGACTAGTATATTTTATGTCCTTTATTGTGGTGAAAACTAGTTGTTTATTCTAGTGAGTTTTAAAAGTTTTTTTTTTTAAAGTTTTCACATTTTAATAATATTACAGGAATTTCTTTGTATTTTTTTAATAATTATTATTCACTTGCCAAAAAGTATAACTTGTTCATTCAGAACAGTAGATTTGAACATCTCTATAGTTGCTTATTTTTTGTTTTGTTTTATTTTCTCAAAATAACTTATATTTTGGAAGACTTATGCTAATGTGGATTATTAAGATTTTAGGAGCCATTCTTGGCTAAACATCTTTACAAGAAATTCTTGTCAGGTTTGATACAGTTTCCATTTCCTTCCCCGATACCTCCATAAACCAGCTGAAGAAAAGAGTCCTATTTATTCATTTTATTTTTCAAAAAAAGCAGCATCCCTCTTTGTACAAACATCATTTAAAATATAGAGTTTTTAGACTGAATTTAAGCAGACCAGTTTGAAAAAATAACTATCAGTATTTGAAAGGAACGAAGCAATTTCTAGACCTCTGGAGTTGCCCCGCTCTGTTGTCAAATTAAACCTTTAAATGTTAACTTTATTGCTTTTTTTTTTTCTGGTGGTAATTTGATTTTTCCCCTCGTAGAATATTGAAGGTAGAGTCTATTGCGCTGGCTTTAATGACAACTTTTTATTGTAACATTAATTGCTTTTATTGAAGAGTGTTTGTGTAATACAAACACAGTTAAATTCCAACCCCCTGTTTTGTTGCTTCAAAAAATATACGCAACTTTGAGGCTGACTCTATTTGAAATTGTCATGCAGGGTGAATTAAAATGATTCTACAAGTCAGGCCAAACTGTGGCTAGAGGAATTGGGAAAAATCAATCATATTGGTTAATTATGGTAAAGAATGTGGGAAAAGATTAGTATATTTATGTTTAATATGAGACTTGATGTGTAATTTAGACCCGCAAGAAGTTCCAGATGTTGATTATTGTTTTGATATCCTGGTTTAAATCAATGTTTTTCAGTTAGATCAATAATCATCCACTAAGTCTATGATATATAAGTCCATTATTACTTTTACTTATTAAAAGATCCAATCAAATAATTTACTAGTCCATTAAAATAGTAATTTCTGCCTCATTAGTTGATAATTAAAACATGTAGATCTAGTTTAGCCTAATGTAGTGCTTCATCTCTCTGCTTTCGCCGATAAATAAGTGCTCACCACGGCTGTTAGAGCATACGTCCAGATTAGATTCCATCATGGAAACTGTTTAGAGCGATGCACGCTCCGCTGGGAGTCGCAGAAATAGCCGTAAGTGAAAGATGTGAGCAACCTTCCACACCTCCAGGAGAACCGGGAGAACTTGCCTAATTTGCCGTAACGCTTTTTGCAGTAGCAGGTGCTTGATGGTTTGCTCCCTCTCCTCTGCTCCCGCGGCTGTAAATGACAGCAGTTAAAAGGCCATTTAGAGCTTCTGGCTGGCCATTAGGTGATGGATAGCTCCTGCAGCGAGGCTCTGTGTGTGGGGATGTTTGTGTTTGTGTGTCGGGGTGCGAGCGTGTTTCTGTTTGCATACATCGGTGTGTGTTAGAGACGTGTGTCTGTTCGTGTTAATATGCGTCAGATTAACAGGGAGCATATGCTCTACCATCTGTGCCAAAGTATCTATTACGTCCATCATCACACACACATTGTTTGTGATGCAATGTAGTGTTCTTGTTTTTTTACTCGGTTTGTCTGATGAAAGAAAAAATATATTACAATTCTTCATAATTTTTTTCCCTCTTTTTCTTCAACATTTTCCACACTTTTCTTCTTTTAATCAGTTTCCTTCATATATTCGTTTTCACCCTTTTCCTCTCTTCCATCCTCTCATCCTCCCTCAGCCAGCTTATGTAATCATCTTATCATCTTGTCATGTACTTTCAAAAGACTTCTGCACTCACTGCATGTGCTTGTTAGACCAGCGGCCATGTGTGTAAACGCATAGGTGCGCGCAGTGATGCTGCTCTTGCTCCATCAAGGATTACACTACTGCACATGTGGTCAGTCCCAATTTATAGCAATCACCAGGCAGAAAGGAGAGTATTCCTATCTTCTTAAATATCAATTTTATTCTAATATTAAAACAAAATTTGATGTATTTTGTTATGTTTTGTCACATACTGGTCAAGTTGGGGGGGGAGGGGGGGGACATGCAATTTTATAATTAAACCTCCCAAAATTAGATTTTTGTCTGTGCTCTTCCCCTCTTAGTCAATATTTTATTGCAACTTTTTTGGCTGCAGTTACGCCTGTAATCATGGGACGTATGTCTCAACTCTACCAGGGTTGTTAGGATAATAGATATTTTGACATAATTGATGCAAAAAGTGTATTTTTTTATAGATACTTGTTGGGGCTACATGATATCACTAAAACATGCAATATGCAGTAATTTTAGCAAACATTGCAAGGATATTAATACTCGCAAAAACTCGTCTTTGTGTTTGTGACCACTGCAGACTTCTGAAAATTTATGGCAGAATGTTGATTATTTTTATGAGTCATTAAGTTTTCCTGCATATTATTAATTATTTCCAATACATTAATGAACTTTATGCCATCTCAATCAAAAGCCACTTTGAAATTCTCCATAACATTACACTGCGAATATTGATACATGGAAATAAAACTGGAACCGAGCGTGTTTACACTGATCCTTTAATTCCCCTTTAATTAATTGGATGAGACGGTCCATTTTCCTTTTAATTTCCCATCAAGCCTCACCGTTTGCCTGTGTTGTAGCGGGGGACACGCCACCGTTCCTCTCCGTCCACTGAATTGTTCCCCATCCCAGGAGGCAGCGATGGGAGGCTGAGAGAAAGACTGACACTCGGCTGTAATAGGACTGAAAAGGATGATAAATTGTTTCATTCACAGTTCGACATGCTCTGTTTAACCTGACCATGATTCCAAAGACATACTGTCCATAGACGCCAACCCACACATTGTGCTGAAGACATGAGATGTGACCATTTAGTGCTTTTTTTTTTTTTTTTGACATATGAGCAGGTCAATAATGGAGAAAAAGAACAAACTTTCCCTCTTGAAGGAAAAGTTTTAAGATGTAATTTTGCTCTTTTATTATTATTATACTGTAGGGACATAGACTACTTTCACTCATTCTTTGCAGCTATGTTGATTTAAATATTTATGAACATCTCTGGTATATGTCAAAACATGTAAAAGTAGTATTTTTTTTTAGAAACCAACCTTTTATTAGAGTACATTTATTCCTTACATGTTCATGGTTTTGGAAGACATCAAAAATTAACTCATTTATTTTATTTGACATAATGCTGTAAAATAAAAATCACACTTTAATGATGCCTTCCAATTGATTTAACACAATTTATGAACAGTTTGAACCCAACGTACCTGATATTAATGTCACATTAAGTACTAAAATACTAAAATGTCATGTAAACAACCCATGTTTAACACTGTTACAAAATCAACACAGTAAAATCAGCACATTCCATGATCTCATGTTATGCTACGCAGATGTTCATAGCAACCATTATTAACTACAGGTACCGCTGAAAAGATTAAATATCGTGAAACGGTAAAAGAAAAAAATAATTCATTCCAGAAAGGTTCATGTAGAGTGAAATTTTCAAGCATATTTCTTGTAATTTTGACAGTAAAAACACAAAATTTGGTGTCTTGGTGTATTAAAATGTTGCATAACATAATTTTTAAATGTACCGTATTTTTAGAATTATAACCCACTACTTCTTTCCCACGTTTTGAACCATGCCTATATACAGGTGCTGGTCATAAAATTAGAATATTGTGATAAAGTTCATTATTTTCCATAATGTCATGATAAAAATTAAACTGTCATATTTTAGATTCATTGCACACCAACTGAAATATTTCAGGTCTTTTATTGTTTTAATACTGATGATTTTGGCAAACAGCTCATGAAAACCCAAAATCCCTGTCTCAAAAAATTAGAATATTATGAAAAGGTTCTCTGAACGAGCAATTAACCTCATCATCTGAATCAACAAAGTAACTCTAAACACCTGAAAAAGATTCCTGAGGCCTTTAAAAACTCCCAGCCTGGTTCATTACTCAAAACCGCAATCATGGGTCAGACTGCTGACCTGACTGCTGTCCAGAAGGCCATCACTGACATCCTCAAGCAAGAGGGTGAGAAACAGAAAGAAATTTCTGAACGAATCGGCTGTTTGCAGAGTGTTATATCAAGGCACCTCAGTGGGAAGTCAGTAGGAAGGAAAAAGTGTGTAAGCAACAGGAATAATCACAGCGTTGAGAGGATTAAGCAAACTACAGTTTTGTATTTTCTATGATGCTACACAAGGAATTGTGTCTTTTCAAGTGCAGTAGTTGTTAATCATCATATATCAATCAGAAGCCTATAAAGTCTTGGCATTATCATCTGGGCTTTCCTAAGTTGTTTAAAGGTATAATAATCTTATTATGTAAACTAGAATACAGTCTCATTATGTTGGTAGCCCTATCTGATCTAAAGCAAGAAATTTAAGACTGATTTATCGTCAAACGGTGAAAATAAAGGTTTTATACATTACATGCGACAGCCCATTTATTTCTTTCAACAGTAAACGGAAGCATTGACAGTCTATTTATTGCTTTGATTTACAGTATCATCAACTGATCTAATGTCATTTTCTTTCCCCTGATGCTCTCCTTCCATCTCTTCTTTGCTTCTTCCCAGCCGAATGACACAGACGTAAGTATGTGCATAATTTTCCCCGGGCGCCGTCCCCCCCCCCCCCCCCCCCCTCCGCTCCCTTCACAACCAAATCAACAGTTTCCCGCTGAGCTCCGTGAACTCGGCTTCACAACATTAATAAAACAGACGGCACACATCCACACAGTCGCAGATGCACGGAAACAAAATAAGCTGCTACTCGCAAACGAGACGCTCAGCGGTCGATCTCAGGTAGACATTTCTGTCGCATCTTGCAAAAATTAACAATTTCTCACCAAGGCAGACACAATTTTTTCTTTTTTTCTTTTTTTTTTTTTTCCTCTCGCACATACTCAGACACTTGTCGACCCGTTTGAGCCTAGCGCCTTCGAAGAAATACACGCACAGAAGCATGTGTTTAAAAGATGTCCTCGTTAAACGCAGGCACGCCGTCCTCTCGCTTATACATATAGATTACACTCCTACATCAGCGCATTCATGAGTTTTGCTGCTGAAATGTATCCGTTTGCCTGAAATTACAGCAGATTCTGTTTGTTTTCTTTAGTGCTCCTCCATAGAGGGGGTTTGTCCTCTTCGCTGTGACAGCTTTGTGAGTACACTAGTTATGTGACTTAGGAAGATTATATGAATATTATTCAGGGCAGAAAACTCTTAATTAGTTTGCATATCTGCTCTATTTAGCCGCTAAAGCACAGACTTTCTTGGTGTTTTTGAGAAAGATTTAATAACGTTTGTTTGGAATATATCTGTCTTTGTCAAAAGTAATTTGTTTTTCTGTCTCTCGTTTCTTGTATCAGGACATCGAGTGCTACGTGATTGACAATAATGGCTTTGTCCTAATTTCTAAACAGCGCAGCGACGTAAGTTGACACATTAACGGGCTTTTAGAGTCGTACTTTGAGCGTTTGAGAGGTTTTGACTCTGTTTGTTATCGCTGCGCTGAAAAGAGAAGACAATTTGCAGAATTCTGCCCAAAAAACTGCCTGCATCTATTTTTTAGAACGGTAAGCATGGTCGGTAGTAGTTTTCCTTTTTCCTCGACGCTGCTGTTGGAAGCCCTTATGAAAGTGTTAATTTGTGATGTTACAACCTCAAACTTCAATGTGTTTTACTGAGATTTTATGTGATACAGCAGCAGAGTGTTGGAACAAAAATCAAACATGATTTCCAAAATTACTTGCATATCAAAATCTGAAAAGCAGCATGTGTTCACATCTTTCCCCCTTTAAACAGATACCAATCATTTAATTAGTAAATGTCCACTTGCGGAGGGAGATGCTCTGGTCAGAACGTAATTTAATTTTTTCGGCAGCAAAGTAACAGGTCTTATTATCCTTACCCAACCAATGTGACATGGTTGTAGTGTCAGCATAATGCTGTGGGGATGCTTCTCTCCCTCAGGGACAGGGTAAGTGGTCAATTTGTAACAAAAAACAAAAAATTCCTTTTGATTTACAACTATTGTTAGACCATATAAAAAAATATTATTGTCCTAAACAGTTGAAAAAACAAACACGTATAGGTCTCTTCACGTTTTTTTCATAAACATTCTCAGTGCCTGAGCTTCAAAAAGCCTAAAGGTCAAGATATTTAAAAAACGGCTCATTTCAAGGACCTCCTGGAGTGATGTAACCTTTTACATAATTTCATGCCTGTTTTATTTCAGTTGCTTCCCCAACTCAAGTAGTTGACGCAAGCGCTAAAAAGAGACAGTGGAGTAAAAAAATAAAGGAGATAGAAGAAAAAAAAAATCATAGTTTCAATTTGATTGTTGTAGAACAAAAAAAGAACATAAAAGAGAAAGTGGGCTCTGAAAACGTTGGATTTTTGTTGGACCGTCTTACGTCTAATATGTTGTTTTCTACATAATAGCAATCAGTTCTGGAGATGGGAACAATAATCATTTCATTTTTACACCTACAATTATTACAGTTTAGTCTTAATTTAAAATGTGTACTGTAATTGATGTAATTATGGCAAGTTAATAAGACCTAAAGACATTAGGATTTTAAATTGCTCGGTAAAAAGCCAGCCGGCAGTATTCGTAAGGCTTTATTTAAAAAAAAAAAAAAAAATTAATGAAGAGAGTTTAAATCATAGAGTTCACGGTGAGGCGTAAACATTTACAATCCTACTGTCAGATTATTATGATTACGGGAATTTATTTAATAGTAACAGTTTGCTTTTCTTGACAGGCGGGACGTTTCTTTGGCGAAACCGACGGATCGGTGATGACCACATTGATCCAAATGGGCATGTTTAAGAGGTACGGACTGGAACCGATCTGCTGGCTGCCTGGTTGATGAGACAGTCGTGTTGCAGGCGGTTTATCGTGCGTGTGGTGAAAAGTTGTCAAAAAAAACGTTTGTTCGGCTGTCACAGTACATTAGGACAATTAGGTCACCCCATGCTGTGGCGCAATCAGGAGTCCATGAGAGAATGTGCTTCTGATTACCTCCTGTTTGTTTTTGTTTCTAATTTTATGCAAAAATGTGGGAAATGCATCTGGCCATACAGTGCTGTTAAAACACAGATCATCAATCTACTTCTTAACATCCTGTCAGAGCAATAGTATGGCAAACAGTCGACATTTTTGTGCTTAATATAAAAAGAGAAATGTGTTTCTCCCCTTTAACTTAAATTAACTAAAAGTGGAGTTCCCTGTAAAAAAAAATGCTATCAAAGTCAAACTGTTGATAAATTAGGATTAATTCTTAGGATATGCAGAAATCCAGCGTGTGTTCTCTGCTTAAAGCACAGTACAGACAGCGCTGCGTCATTTTTCTCGGTCTGCTGTTACTGAGCAGATAACAGGTGTGAGCTCCTGTTTTCACAAAGACTCTTAAGAAACACAATACATGGAGGTCCACTGGACTCTGTGTGCAGATGGTCAATGGCACAAGGACAGTTTCCTCTTGGATAAAACCCGACTCACACATTCAAAATGAGGAGTATGCAGCATTACACAACAGTTTATTTTACTCAAATGTTAAGTCAGGGACAGGTGGACAGATTTTGGACAGGTGATTATTTATTGGTATGGAGCACTATAATGTATTTTAGGAGCTAAAAATCAAGGAGAAATTGTGTAATTCCATTTAGTTGGGTTTTGTCTATATTAATGTGTATACATCTTACCTAGAAGATTTCACAGTATTGGTACATTTCCGTAATCTGGACCTTTTTCTTCACTATAAACGCCTTATTGTAAAGTTTACAATAAAAAAATTAGAAAATACTTAAATGTTCTTAATTATGGATTATTAAGAATCTGCCAGAAAAGGCAACATCAGGTCAGATGTTTACATGTTCAGAGATCAGATCTCAGTCGCAACATTTTTGGTCCTTGCAAGAAAAAAATAAAAGCAATCCACCGGGTTGTTTTCTTTTTCCTCGTCTGACTTTTTTTGTTTGTTTTGTTTTCCTTGCAGTTGGTAGTGCTGCTTGGTGCCTGGAGACGGTCAGGGAATCAATAAAAGACGCTAAAAGATGCTGAGATCTCAACACTGTTTGCATGTTATGCTTGTGTTCCTCCAGGGTCTCATTGTTTGACTACCAGGCCATGTGTAAGACCAACCCTCACTCTGTCAGCAGCGCCCGCCCACTTCTCAGCGTAAGTTCAATGACTTCAGTCTTCATTAATAAGTTTCAAACAAGAATCCCGTCACTTTTACACTAAACTTCATCCCCCCACCCCCTCTCTCTACAGTCATTCTATGCTTTGGCTTCAACTTTGAAGTGGTTCCTCTCTAACGTCCTTCTGTAAGTGTTGCTAGAGGCGACAGTTTTGGCTGCTCCCAACCGTCAACGCACAGCAAAGTTTATTGGTTAGCGACACAGAAATCAGATTCACTTTTTCAAACCTAAAAATACTGACTTATAGATTTCTCTTCGAAAAGTCTTTCGTTTGTTTGAATGACACTTTTTAAAGCAGGTAACGGAAATGTGCCACGAAGGCGTATTTAGTTGTCACTTCCATGTTAAAACATTACCCAGTTTTTTGAGTTCTCCATCTGATCTGTCTGCAATCTGCTGTGATCTCTCTTTCCTCTTTCAGGTTTCTACTGGAGTTCAATTTCTGCAGCTTCTGGCACTCGGAGCATTTTGCTGACGGTGAGCTCACGCTGACCTGGAAATTGGTTCGGTTTCCATGTATTCCTGCCATATCTTTCTGTATGTCTTACACAACCTTAAGGACAGACTCGGAATAGTACCATATCTCCCATGTTAACTGTTTTGTATGTCTTAACAAGCATTGTCATTTTGCTGCTATTTGCATTCCACTCAAAATACTCACTTCATCTTCATCGTAACTGCAAGGTGAAATGGAGCATTTTGGAGAAATGCAGTTGAAACCAGATTTATGCTCAATGTTTAAAAAAGTGATGTAGCTTTTTCTCAGCGACTAACATTGACTGAAATGAAACAAAATGTAGAGTTTAAATGCGTTTTAATTAGGAAAATTGAACAAGAAGGACCAGACTTGGGGGAGGCTCACAGTTTTCTTCCTGATATTTTGGTAGTTGTGTGTTTGAGGTGCACAGGTGTGACTCCATTTCACTCAAATGTCGGAAATTAACATATCAGAAGCTAACTACGCCATGCCATCAGCTTGACATTTCCAAGCTATTTAAAGCGTTGGTTATTAGAAATAAAACAATTACCAGTTTAATAATTACTGTGAGAAAATTTGTTCGTGTTGGTAATGCCGCTTTAGAAGGAAATTGCCATTACAGCACTAGGTGATAAATGTGATATTATAAGCTCAAGAGTAAAACGCAGCTTCAGTTCGGACTGTATTACTGGAAGGCTTTAAGAATGTTTCTGTCTTCACTGCATTCAGAAGAAAACAACATGAGTAATCCCAAGCACACAGCTGCCACTTAAGCTCCCAATGGAACATGAGTAACTATTAGCTAGATGGAAGTTAAAAAGAAATCCTCCAAGACGTTTTCCTCATTATCCTGACATTCAGCAAGTAGACATAAATTCGGTAAACCCAACTGACCGGCTGCAGGGTCCATTTGGTTTTAACTGGATGACGCACGTCTTCAATTGATTCTCGTATAATAACAGCTTTCATTTCTTTTCACTTGTTTTCATGTATCAAACATTCACAACTCCTCATAACTACCATCGTCCATCCATCCATCCATCCATCCATCCATCCATCCATCCATCCAGCTAAACCATCCTTCAGCCGCTGTGAGTACCTGCTCTCAGGTGTTTCAGAGGAAGCTGGGTTGCTCCGCAGACCTTTGTGTTTCATGTGTGATGTGCTGTTTGTGAAACGTTCCAAGTAGAATTAAATTTAGTGTGTCAGATTACATAAGGCTTTCAAGTGGGAGCAGACACAGCTGCCAAATCCTTCAAAACAAGACCCGAGCGTAGACTTTTATCTCAGCTAATGAAATTTCTGAGCAGTTAAGCAGAATCCCGACCAGACATGTACAATTTAATCAGCCACCATAGCTCCTCTTTGTTGGTTTCAAATAATCTCATCTTGTGCATTCGGTTTGTTCGAAGCATGCTTCCATCTGAGCGGCAGTAATAAGCTAAAAAGTTTGAGCTTTCAGCCCATCGATCACGCGTGCTCTTCCAACTAATCAAGAAATGACCCCCCTCTTTTCTGCCTCTCTATTAGCTTATGTTCCCAAGAAAAAATGGAACGTCTTGCAGCCATGTGACACCGAGTACCCGAGCTTCATTTACGAGCCGTCAGTCAAGGAGACCAACAGCATTATTAAGTGCGGACGGTGCCAGAAGTAAGCACACAGCCGTGTACGGACATGCACACACACACATGGCAGCGCAGTCCTCTGTAAGCCCTGGACCGGTCAAATTAAAGTGTCTTCCTAAAATCCATTTTCCACAGCTTTCCTCCACTCCGCTCACTGAGATCGGCGTCTATTTATACAAGAGTGTCAAGAGGAGGGAAAGAAGTAGAGGGGATCAAAATTAGACGAGGTGGTGGGGATGTGTGCAAGAAAGAGTGAGAGGCATCCGAAAAATAGAAGAAAGTAAAAGTGAATGAGAGTATTAAAATAGAAACAACAGGTTTGAATGACAAGATGGGGAGACGGAGACAATGATTCAAAACGGTGGGAGGTAAACTGGTTGAAAAAGGGAAAACGGTTTGTAAGACAAACTGAGTGGGAGTGCCCTCATGTGGACAATAGTGGTATCACAACCAAGTTATAGCTTTTACATTATACATTCTATCCATGTCTGTTGTTCATATTTTGTCACATTTCAACACAAACCTAAAATATTGATTATGATTTTACGTGATGAGGCAACAAAGAGTAGTGGAAGGAAAAAATACATGATTTCTCTTCTTTTTTTTCATCTTGACAGATTAGGCAAACAGTGGTGGGTCTGTTTTCCTCTGCAGGGAGTGATAATGGAAAACTCCCCATGTTGCATGAATTATTATAAAGTTAGAGGAATGAAAACCTACTTCCTGTTAAGGCAGCCAAGCATACAGGCAAGGACAATTACAAGGAGTCAAAAATGACATACAGTCAAAAGGAGGAGGAGATTATTTATACTTTTCAACAGTTTTTAGAAATAAAAATAAGAAAATTGTGACACTGTTATGTCCCTACCGGCTTTGTATATCAACATATTTAGGTTTGTTCTTGCAACATGAAAAAAATATGAAAAAGTTCAAAGGTTAAGGATACTTTTGCAACGCTCTGTATGTTGAGTTCATTCAGGCGTATTAACATGTTTTCTGCATTACCGTACATTTACCACTCGTGTTCTGTGGAGTTCGCTCGACATTCTGTTTATTTTCCACTTTGGACTTTTTTTATCTGCCTCAGAATGTTTGTAGTTCAACAAATACCTGAAAGCAACCTGCTGATGCTGGTGGTACAAGGAGACTGTGACTGCTCCAGGCAGTACCCACCCATCACCCTGGTGCCCAAAGAAGTCAAATATATCCTTTGTGTGATTTTATATCAACATTTTTTTTTTTTTATTAAATAAAAAAGTGTTGCCTAAAAACTGGTCAGCCCCAAACTACCACAAGTTTAAATTGTAATAGGTTTGCTCCTAATTTTAATAATTCCACAGAGGAATCTATTAGTATAATAACATCTCGCATAAATCTGAAGTTTGAAGCGTTTGCTGTCATTTTATCATATTTTCCTGAGTCACGTAGCACATAACGCATCAGTTAAGTGCGACAGGATGAGGTCCCAGAAGGTCCGGAGACGTCCTGAGTCCTGCCACTCCTACCACCCACAGGTCAGATCCTCACTGTCGAGCAAGTGCTGCTGCACAATATGACATGTAGAGTAAGCTATTGTTTGGAATACTTTTTACTTTATTTATTGCAGAAGTTTATAAAGTGTCCATATGTACGTGTATTCTGGTTTTGCATTTTTATAAAACTTAGATTATACAAAATGTAATTGTCAAGTGCCAGTCTAACCAGCCTGGACCTGTGTGAAAATCCAAGTGGTCAGTTGTCTCTTGGTTAAGTCATTCATTATCTTTGATTAACTAAAACATTTTTTTAACCCTGATTGCTGCCATGTCTGTAAAATCGCAGAGCTCCTTTAAATAAGATGTTTATGTCAACAGGAAATGGGTAGACTGAATACACTGAATACACCTACATGTACGGACATACTCTTTTCATGTCTGTTAGGTCGTTTTAATGTGAAGGAACACAATGACAGAAACGCAACATTCTGTCTGTTTTGTTCTTCCAGGAGAACGCTAATGACTGCGGCGGCGCGTCTTTTATACGTCTCTCAGGCCCTCTCCTTCTCCTCTGCCTCTCCCGCGCTGCGCTTGTTTCCTGATGCCAGAATCGTTTCTCTCTTTTTTTTTTTTTTTTTTTTTTTTTTTTTAACAAACACGACTCTAAAAGAACAAGACAGGTTTGCACACAAATCACCTCAAGTGGACTTCTTTGGAAGCAGATTCTACATGTTTATCTGCAGACTGCAAACCCTGTGGACATTTTATACGAATCATGAACACATAACTCCTAAAAGCTAAAGCAAATGTAACGCTGGAAAAATAATGTTTGATATTCAGGAGAAACTAACTTAAGTAGGGAATCTCCATTTGGGTTCAGAACAAATAGTAATAGATATTAATGTATCATAAAGGTTACGATGCAAATTAGCTGTATTAGGTGTATTGGGGTTCTTTAACAGACATTTCCACTCTCAAATATGTAGTTTACTTATTGATGCTGCTATGGCTAAACAGGCCTTTAAAACTGAAGTGCTACTGAGGTTTTTCTGCAATTCATTATGATCTAATAGCAAATTATTTCAAATACAGCTTAATAGTATACAATCACAACCAAGGATCATTCACACTCCAACCACTAGAAGGCAGCAAAGAGCTCCCAATACTCTTTGGTATGTGTCAAATACGCATTGGTAATCGTGAGACCAGAAGATGTTTGAAGTAAATTTGGGATCATTGTTTTTTTTAGAAAAGTTAGAAACGAACAAGGGGAAAAAAGCAAACAAAATTCAGCTGAACATTGCAGAAATAAATGCTTATTCTGCATGTTGATGGAAGCATGTGCATTTCCTGTATGTGAACACAGATTTAGCTTCTGGCTATATACTGAGGATAAGAAGTATGAGCGATTTCTAATTACCTTTTACTTTTGATGAGCTGTGCCTTTCTGCTGTATATAAATATGAAAAAAATACATATGCTGTAAGTTTTCCCCAGGATGCATCAACCTTTCCAAATATGTCCAAATGTAAGTCTAACAGAAAGTAAAACAAAATAGTTTTTAAGTTTCATTGTAATCTTTAGTGTCTGTAGGTATTGGTGTGTTTTAATTAATTTTACAAAATCATTTTGGTTGAACTGACGGGTCACTGTCCATTTGAAACACTCTGGGTGGTTTTGCCTCACAGTAATATATTTTTGGTAAAGAGTTTACTTACTGTAATCATTTGTCTTTGTTTATAATGCCCTTTGAACATTAATCTGTAAATGAAATTGTGAGCGACACCAACTTAAGTCATGTTTTGTACACTGTTAAGTAAATTAAATCCATGTGTTTTTTTCTATCGGTTTGCTGTTGTTGTTTTTTTTTTCTTCTTTTCTTCATTTGTCTGTCACAAATAGCATTGCTTGCATTCAGGACCATAAGAAGAAGGAGAACTTCCAAACTCCATGCAGAAAGATTTGACTGGGAATCGGACCCTGGACCTCTTCCAGAAGTTCTAAATGTGAAGTACGCTGGCAAACCTGGAGGATGGTAAAACAACTTACTATGATTATGGAGTTGCAGGTAAGTATGCTGTTTCAAACATTTACATTCTATGGCTTAATATTTTGCATCATAGTGCAAAATATGCACTATTTTGGCATATCACTTGGCCTCATTTTCGATGTCAGTCATTTTTTGGACTTTTTCGACATCATTGCCAGCAGTAAGTCAGGCTCGTTTCTGGTGAGTTACTTTTATTTGCGTTTTCCTCTTCCCCTGTTGTAGACGAAAACACTACAATAACGCTTATGCTTCTTGGAACAATTAGTAATCTAGTACAAAATTTCCTGAAGCATTTCTCTTTTCTTGCTAGTAAAGTTAAGTCCCTTTTAGTCTCCATTTGAGCAAGAAAACATACGCATTTAACTGGAATAGTGTATTTAATGTGACGTTTACCGAAAGTGATAAAGTGTAAAGCACAACTGGCTGTTCAGGCTCACACATGTTACTGCAGTAAATGGGTTCAACATTGTGCTATTACCGTTTTACATTCAGGGTAAGAGACAGTAAAGTCTCTGTCACAGCAATGCCAAAACTCTTCCATTTTTGCTCCATAAAAGTAAATACACACGACCGAAATTCTTCAAAATGGGGAAAAAAAAACTGTTGAGAGGATATGCAGCTTTGATGTTTTCACAGCACAAAAAAAAGAGAAAAAATAGCTGAAGCTGCAACAAAAGCACTTTGCAGTTGAGCCCAGCTCAACTTCAGCATGTTTTTCCACAAAAAGTCTATCAGGACATTGCAGTTGAATGTAAACATCACAGGTAGCAGTTCTGGATTGGCTGTAGCACATTCAGAAAAAAAAAACTATATGGCAACACTCATCTCAAAGAATAACACTCTTCATGTAGGAGTCTAAAGTTGCAAGGTGAAGCTAGAGTTTTAAACCAACACAATCTGAAAAACTTAGCTTCTTAGAAGGGATGGGTTTGAACTTTAAATCCTGTCCTGTGAACCTTTTCTGCTCTGACCTCGCTTTGTTTTTCCTCCTCAGGGCTCAAAGGGGTCTGAGGCAGTGTGCAAACCCCCGAAGCCTCAACTCTAAGAGAATCAGCATGTAAGTCATCTCTTCCTGTCATGTCTGCAATAATAATTGATCATATGACTGAAGGTGAATCACCTTAGATCAAAGTGTGATCCTTGTACAAACTCCTCCTGCAGCTGTGAGATGCCAAACAGTTAATGTATGCACCATAAAACATTCATTTTTATTTAGGTTGAGCTCAAGTCTTCAGTCTTTTAATGAAATGTTTGGTTTTGCAGACATCAGTCGAAGACGTCTCCATCTTGTGTGGCGATGAGCCGGGACTCCCCGTGATGCAACGTGAAGAAGGATTCTGGTTTCAGTCCCCTCTGCTCCAGGGCCTCTCTGAGACGGACCGGCGGCTCCAGGTAGTACTGCATGGAGGAGAGACGAGGAAGTCTAGACTTAAATTATATTACCATTTGTACCTCATATTACATCCATGAAAAAAATGGCAGGGTTTGTATACATAAGATAACTGTATTTACGACTTTAAAATACTTTGTTTCTACACTATGTGGGAACCCTTATGGTAACCCATTTCTGCCACTGTTAAAAAAAACAAACAATTGAGATAATTAAAATGGAAATCTCAAGAGATAAAATCTGGAAATAATCTTTTCTAGATTTTATCGCGATAAAATCTAGAAGAGATCTCTTCTAGATTTTATCTCGATCTTTTCTAGATTTTATCTCGAGATAAAATCTAGAAGAGATTATTTCTAGATTTTATTTCGGGATAAAATCTAGAAAAGATCATTTCTAGATTTTATCTCGAGATATCTCTTTTTTTTTTTTTTTAAACAGTGGCAGAAATCCTAACAAATGGTTGACATTTAATTTACATTGTATAAAGGCAGGCTGCTTCTATTTTAACTTAAGACATGTAGTGACTGCTGCTGACTCTTTTCTAACATCCTACCTCATAGGCGAGGGCGAAGGTCCCCCAGTGTATGGCTACAGACTGTTTGGCCTGAAGGTCCTGATGAATCTGAACAGCCTCTTCTGGATCCACATGCTGTCCCTTCATCACATCCCTGAAAACCCAACAGGAAATGACATCAGTCCTGCTTATTAAAATGCTGAAACTGAACATTAAGATATTTTTGCATGCACGTGTATGAAAGGAGACCTTAAACCGAGTACCACTGGCTACACATTGGTATACTTAGCAAGTGTTGGACTTCGCTACTGCACTAAAATATGAACCTGTAACAGTGGTTTCAGTGAATTTGTCGGCTTCTGCACATATTAAATAACTTCATATGAAACACATAAGCATGCCTCAGAAGTGTGTTAAAACATGAAACTCTTTGTGCCTGATCTGCTGTGTGGGAGTGTGTGCCTCTCTACCTGGGCAGGTACGCTCCAATTGGGATCGCTGCGAGGTCGAATGGCCCAAAGCGGCGTCCGATCTCCTGGAAGGACGGACAGTAGCCTGTGTCGCCGGCGAAGAAGAATCGATGGTTGGGACCCAAAACAGACCAGCTACTCCATAAAGACTGAAAAGATATAAAAAGTTAAATGGTTACAATTCTGACAGTTTTTAGTGCAGCAGAAAATTAAAGAGATTTTCACAGAGAGAAGAAGTAGTTTTGCCCTTTTTGTTTAATCTTTCTTCTCCATTGAAAAATGTTGGGCTGCAGACTCTTCAATAAAGTGCTGCTATCACACCGAATACATTTCTGCTCACTTGCCCAACGATAACATTGCAGCACTTAGATTATCAGTGCTGTTTATAAAACCAAACTGATAGCAGTCCCAACACACTACAACATTTACTATCAAGTACCCTGTTATCATCCCACGCTGTCCGTTTGCTCCAGTGCTGAGAGGGTGTGCAGACAAACGTGATGTTGTCGTGACCCGGGACGCAGTTTTCCTCCCACCAGTCCAGCTCCATCACGTTCTCGCAGCCCATCTTGGCCAGCCAGTCCATCAAACCCAGGGGTACGAACCTGTTAAAACATGCATCATATTTCACAGGAACACTGGAAGGTGTGTGTGTGGGGGGTGGGGAACGATTTGGGACACATACCAGCGTAGCTCCCCTCCAAAGCGTGCATTAAGGCTGGCAACAGATCCAGCATCCAGGTGATCGTAATGAGAGTGGCTGATGAGGACGGCGTCTATCCTCGGCAGCTGTTTGTAGGAGAGGACTGAGCTGAATAAAGCCAGGTTTGATTCAAAGGATTCTGTTTGTTCACAAAGTAAAAGTGGGACCATGAAAGATCTTCGAACCTGTTCCACTGTGCAGGGGGGTCCTCTGTATCGTTTGGGCCCCATGAACTGAAGAAATGATGCTCTCTGGCTGAAAATGGGGTCGGTCAGAATGTTGACCCCCTCCATTTCGACCAGAACTGTAGCGTGGCCCAGCCAGGTGACCCTCATACCAGCAGGAGAGTCCAACGCTTCTGGATTCTGGACAAAGTAGGGCTCCAATACTGGGAGTTCACTGTCCAGGACCTGTGGGGAGAGCAGGGAGGACAGAAGAAACTTAGACTGACTTAAAAAAAAATAAAAATAATATTTTTATATATATATTTTAAACATGCTCATCTTTCAACCTATATATTTGTAAGTGTTGGCTAAATACTAGAGGACAACGACCTCGCAGCTAAAAGGTCCTTTAACAAAGTTTTGCGTCAGTGGGGTTGAATACAAATGGATGTCACGCTTTTCAGATTTTTTGTGCTCATAAGTTATCAGATAAAGTCCAATAAATAGACAATATACAAACAACTGGTGCAAATAAAGAATTCAATGTTTTTGTTATGCTGCGTGAAAGGAGCCTTTAAGGCCGGATAATCCCTCAATGAACACAGCAAAGTTTCCAGAAGCAGCTATAAATAACAGCATGTCAGCTCAGGGCTGTGAAAGATGAGCTTGTGATACTAATTATTACAGCAGAGCGGTAAGCAGACTCCATAAATGTGAGCACTGCAGACTTGGTTCTTCTTCCACTAATAAACATTGTTTTGTTTTTTTAAGTTTCTGAATTATCTACAGTAAAATAAAGTGACTTGCGGGTTTTAACATGCAAGTGGTTTCCTACCTCTTTGCTTGTTGGCACACTGCTGTGATTTTTATCCAGCACCAGAAATCTGAGCAGCATAGAGTAGGAAGGAAAGCGCCATGTTGGCCAGGGGTTTGTCCAGCGACCATGTTTGTCCTGACAGGACTTCGTCACCTCCTCCTGCATTCAAAAATAAAACACACCTGAGATACAGCGTGACATTTATTTGAACTCTGAAGAGACTTGAATGTTGGGCGTTGGTGAGCAGAAGGAGGAGGGTCGTTACCTCCAGTCGGTAGTCCAGACGGAAACTCTTACGGGAAGAGCGGGAGGAGCTGCTCTTCCTCGGTGTTCGAGGATCCACCTTTCCACCTTCGGCACCTTGAGGCAAATCACCATCCTTAATAAAAAAATAATAAAATACAAAGAGCGATTTAAAAAGCATGCAAGTGCTGATAATTTAGCACCAAAATCAGCAGAAACTCATCCTGACATGCAAGATTTTTCAGGATAAAAGTGTTGGTTACCTCCACCAGGCCTGTTGTCTCTTCCAGCTCTGCTCTGTCTGAGGATTTTGGTTTCTCCATGTTTCTACCAGCAACACATCTGTAACAGCATACAGAAACCGCTGACTCATTTACCTCAACTGGAACGATAAGTAGTCGACAGTTGAGCTGTAATACGTTGCAGCTCAACTGACCTCTAAAATATGCAAAATCTGTCATAGTATAGTATGATGTCAAAAATTGCAAAAAATTAGTCATAGTATATAGTATGACCTCAAAAATGTGCAAAAATTTCTCATAGTTTAGTATGATGTCAAAAAATATGTTAAATGACACATAGTGTAGTATGACCTCAAAAATGTGCAAAGATTTCTCAGTATAGGATGTCGAAAATATGCAAAAATTTGTCATGATGCCAAAAACATGTTTTTTTAACGTCATACTACGAGTCATTTTTGCTCGTTTTGAACGACATACTATATGTTTTGAACACCATACTATACTGAGTCATTTTTGCTCGTTTTGAATGCTGTACTATGAGGGTTTTTTTTTTTTTTTTGCTCGTTTACGTTTGAACGTAGTGTTATACAGTGATCCCTCGCGGTCTTGCTGCTTTGCAGATTTTTTTTGTGCAGTTTTTTTCACAGGGCATTGTGTTTTGCGTCCTGATTGGCTA